GGAGGTTTAACTGAGCAGGCTCAAAAGTTTTCTACAGCATTGGTGCAGCGTTTCACAACTTCCATGTAGTAGGCTGTGCACAGGCTGCTGTATTCTTCATATGGCTGACAGAACTATCTATGAGATGCCTCTCGGATGAGGACCACATACGGGGATGTGAGGTGGATGGATTTGGGATAATCCTGTACTTCTAGCCTCTCCCGAAATTCCTCTGAAGGATTCATGTCTCACTGCTAGGCTTTATTTCCAAGCTTTAGCAATGGCCAAATTTTGCTATTAGTAGCTTTGCCAAGCAGTACCACATTTCTGAAGTACATACCCTGATACAAACATTACTTTCTCTTTGATACAAGCAAGGCTGTAGTATCAAGCCCTTAATAAATCCTCTGTCACCTTTTTTTGTGGTGATTCCTCCCTTATTTGATGAAACAGTGCTACTGATAATGGATGTGAAGAAGGACTGCAGAATCGTCTCTTAGAGTTATGAAAATTAAAATTTCTGTGTTAAGAAATTTAGACTTAGACTTATGAGAAACCCAAACTTCACACCCAATGGCAAAATTCAATTTGCATTTGATGAGATCTCACCCCAGGTGCTAAAATGATGGTGTATTGGGGATTTGTGTAGAGCTAGGAAGCTGGTAGTAAAAATTCTTACAGAAGGAAGAGCTTGCTTGCAGAAGTAGTATCACCAACTGATACGTTGAACGCTTTAGTTATGGTCACTGCAGGCACTTCAAGCTCAGCAGAAATTAAGTTGATGTTTGCATTGTTTATCCAAGAGAATTCATAAGGGAAATAATAACCAGAAGTGTGTTACTGCAAAAATAGCTGATATAAAAACGCAATGGAGAAATGCTCAGTGTTGGACAATTCTTTTGAGATACATTGTTCTGCAAGCTGAACTCAATTTAAATCTAACTTAATATTTCATTGTCTGCCATCTATTGTTTACATCAAAAATGAAATAACTTGAAGGTTAACTGCCAATTGTACTGTGATGTGACATACGATAAATTTAGAGGTTGGAAGTTCAGAACAAAGGACAACCACTGGCATTCCAAATCATACTGTCCTTATAGGCGCAGAGCTTTCAAGCTGCTTAGGAGTGTGGTATGTATGATTATTTTGTTTCTTCCAGGTTTATGACATTTGTTTTATAACTCTAAGCATGTGTCTAGAAATAGTGCTGCAGCCTAGGCTTGAGGAAAAAAGGATCAAGCTTATAGAGGGAGGATTCTAACAGGGAAATACAACGATGTGATCTCTGCTTTGGAAGTGTGGTGTACTCTGTGAAAGGGTATTTGCCTAGGCAAAGGGGTTACTTCTATGACAGACCGATCAGCGTTTTATAGGTAGCTCTTTATGGAGAATGCTACAGTTTAACTTCTAAAATTCATGGTCTTTCTTGTGCTTCCTCTCATTGACAACAGAATTAACAGAACAGATTCATGGAGTTGGTGCAATGTGGTTTCACAGACTGAATTTATCTGACAGAAAAAAAAAATCACTGCTTTGTTTATATTCTAATACATTTTCTCTTTACTATACTATAAATCTTTGTGGTGGTTTTGAGCACAGCGGTTAATGAGATATAATTAATCTCAAAGTCTCTAATAAGGCTTTAAAAGGAACTCATGTTATTTGGATCTATAGACTGTATTTTTTTTATTCCTAAATGTTTAGTTTTCCCTTTTTAAAGAGATGAAAAAAACCCCAGTGGTTTTCTTTTTTCTTTTATTTGTGACAAGATACTTATTGTCTTGAACTTTTCCCAAACTTAACTCTACAAATGTGATATGTTTCTGGAGCCAATGTACAGTAAAAGCTACTTGCAGTGAAATTATTAAGTATCTGTTAATAAACGCAGTTGATGTTTAGTTCCTGCTAGTCTATGACAGTATGCCACGGGCATTCTTGTCGAATTTAGTTTATTAACCTCACTGAAAACTAAAGAAGCTATCTCTGTGATTGGTTTGAAGCAGCAGATATCTTCAACAGTGAGCAACCTTTCCAATTAACAGATAAATCTCCCTTTTAAAACTGCATGTTTCTTCCTGAATGTTGGTCTCATTCTTTCTGCGTTTAATATATTCACAGCTGCACGACAAGTGGTTGTGTATGGCAGCCTTAAGTATCTTCAGCTCCCATCGGTTGTAATGTAATTAGTGTCTCAAAGGTTCAGGCCATTTGTATGATACCATTTTGTGTCTGGCTAAAGTCAAATGGAAAGACTGGATTCTCCAGTCCCTGCTTGGGGAGAGGACATGTGAAGTAAGGGGAGGTAGGCAGCATGTATGTTTTTGTGTCTGTACCTGTGGCCTTGTCTGTGTTACTTGCTGACTGCCTCAGGGCTATCCTAACTTACATCTAGCTGTCTGTTTACACCTACATTAAGTCTTTTCAGAAAGAATTTCTTTATCACTTGCTTTGCTGGTTACACAGTTCCTAGCTTTTACAGCCGATCTAGCTTGAAAATTCCCTAATTTGGCAATAAGATGGGTACACTGCTGGGATCTTCTGCCATTCTGTATGTCTACTCTGCCTTTCAGTATGCATGAGTGACTTTATAGCTTTTGGAACGCACTTAATGGAGCTCACTTAGCTCCATTAACACACTATATGACTGGTGCAAGGCAAAGACCTTGTATTTCCCATGCAGGTGACAGTAGTCCCAATGGGTCATTCTGACATCCAAAGATAGCCTTAGCTGGCATACATACTGTTCTTTCTTTCTTTACTCATGGGTACAAGCCTTGCTTTGGCTGAGAAGAGTTGTAGCACACAGTCCTGGAGGAGGTTTGTAGTAGTTGGCTTTTATAGCTTTGAATGCTAGTAGTAAAGGCAGAGTCTGCCCATGTATGTTAAATCTCAGACTTTATCCTGTAAAGAGCAGAATAAGGACCACATGAGAACTCAGTTTCGAAACAATAGTCACGCTGCTTTGCACTTTGCCCAGAAACTCATGTTAAGTCATGGTATGCAGGTAGAACATGCAGTAAAGTGATTAAGCCTGCCTTGTCTTAGACAAACCCACTTTCCACCTAAGCACTTGAACATAAGGAAATTTCTGTTTCAGGCATCTACTTGCACTTACAAAATGAGACACCCATGCTTCCATATGATTTGCATTTTTGCTTTGTAGAGCTCTTGTTCATTCATTGTTTCCTTAGATATTTATTCAACACTCATTTCGGCCATCACCATTTTACGTAAGCAGTAGGCAAGACTGGAGTTTTTACAGCTTCCATGCATGTGCACACACAGACACACTCTGTTGGCCCAACGTAATTAATCTCGAACATATAAAACTTCTGACCTGTAGCTAATTTTTGAGTGCTTGTCTATAACTTTTAAGACAAACACATTTAGAAATAATAGTAATTTAGAGTAGCCACATAAGAATAATTTAGTGTAGGAAGAAAAATACTGAGTTTTAATTATTTAATGGTACAGTATATTTTTTCCTTCTGTTAGGAGGCATATTTTTAATTCAGAGTTGTAGAATTTAGCATATCTTAACTTCAGCTAATGTTTTTCCAGTAATAAAAGCAACTTCATATTGTAAGTACTCTAATGGAATAAGCTGAAAAAATCAGCAGCCATAAAAGAAGTTACTATGTATTTTACATATCAATTATAAGAACTGAAAGAAGGCGAAAGAGGGATTTCCCTGAGGAACAAGAGCAAGGATTTTACATCTGAAAGAATAATTTCTAGTTTAAAAGGGGACTAAAAGATTTAATAAAGTGAATACACATACTTAAATAATTCCTAGAGATTAACATGTCTGTAGCATTAATGTACACGATTAATGTATTTTAAAGGTTGATTAAATGTCCTCAGATTGCTGTAGTTCTCAGCTGTCTAGAAGAATGTACCATACCAATGCACAAATCCATTCCGTGCGTTAAGTATAGCAGTGTGTGTGAAGATTGGGGTCTACCAGAGTATGATATAAATACGTTATGAAACTGAAGAAGAAATCCACAAAGGCCTTTCTGTCTGTGTGTCTGTCAAACAAACCATTCATACACTTGCATCTGTGTTAAGTGAATGAGAAATGCAGTCAAGAGTTAAACCAGGTTTCATTGTGTATACAGACTTCAAAAGTGTGCTTGCTTCTATAAACCCTCTTCTTTCCCATTTGGAAATGAAATTATTAATGTTTTTCATGAGCCTCATTTGGATTTTTCAACTTTGTGAACTTCATCTGTGGCACCTGGGTGCTCACAATACACAAAAACTTTGGACTGTATCATGTAAGGTATCAGATGTAGGTGACTGACAGCAAACTCGAACACAGAAAACTTTCCCATCTTTTGGGTTCCTCTCTTTATCTGATGGCATAGATACCTACCTCATCTTCTGTGCTGCATGGACACTGTGAACGAGGTCTTGGACTGCAGACCAATGTAGACTGATCACAACCTCCCCTCCTGATCTGACAGTGGGCCTTTCAGTGTTTGCCTTCATTTTTTATGTTCTTGACATGAACATCCTTGTTTTGCCGTGGATTTCTGTACTTGGGAGACTATTCGCTATTTTTCCATGGTGTGAGCATGGATTTTTTACACGTCAAATTTACTAACAGTAAATGTGTTTTTTTCCTGAAATACTGGATGAGCGTACAGTCAAAGGAGTTCTATCTGTAAAAAATTGAGAGCAAACTTGTGAGTTTTTGAGCAGAGTGCTCTGTTAGCAGTACTGATCTTGGAATTCCTGCATAGTGGTGGATTAGTTGTGAGATGAGAATACTTCAGGGAAGCTAAGGTACAGCTTCAGCTAAGATACAGCTTTGGCTACCAGCTTACTCTTAATATTTTTCTTCTAAGAATAGAGGTAATTTTTTATAATTGCTGTGTGTTGGAAGTGGAATGTATCTCAATAGTCTGACTTTGCTGAGCAATTGGAAACCCCTATGATGTTTTCAAATCACTTAGGACAAGAAAAGAACAATATTTCAGTTTGTGTCTAACAAACTTTGTCTCTTTCCTAAGTTGCTGACCAGCAAAGAAGAGAGAGACTGAAAAAGAAGGTAGCCAGGTGTGAAGGGGAACTGAGTGTGGGTAAAGCTGCCTCCCGATCCAGCTCAAGAGAGATTGGAAGGCTGCTGCCATCCTTTTTTGGAAAGGTAGGTATTTTAACTTTGTTCAGTAGATATCATAGTCTACTTGCCTCCCATAATAACAGCTGATCACTGCTGTGCAGCAGCTCTAGAGGGAGGGCTGGCATATTTCAAGCAGCAGAAAATAGACAAGGGTCTTCCTGGCCTCTGCCCAACACCAAGTGCACGTCTCGGCCTTCTGATAAAGATGGCAGGTATCTGGATGAATAGTGCTTGTGGTAAATTCAAGCTCTAGTTACCCTTGAATTCTCTTGCTTTCATCTCAGCTGAAATTCCCAGTCCTCTCTGTCACTCCAGAGCTTTCTGCCATTTCCTAAGGCAGAACTCTAGTTACCACTAACCTTCCTAGCAGAAGAATTGAGACTCTTCTATTTTTTTTTTTTTTTTTTCTGTACCCAAAGTCCTACTTTGGAAATACGTTTAATATCTAACGGTATACTACATGCTCAAATTGCAGTTATTGAAAGTGAAAATAGTACTTAAGCCATCAAAATACGTGCTTTTCTGTCTATGTACATAGGTTCACTTATTTTGGCTGGCATTTCATCCAGATATGTGGTGTATATTTCCAAATAAATAAATAAATAGCCTAATAAATTACATTCTCTTGTTCATCACTGTAAAGGAGCAATTGCAAGTTAAAACAGAATGATGTTTTAACTCTGATTTTAATAGCAAATGCTTCATATGTTTTTTAAATATCTGTAGAGCTAGAGAACATTTCCAAGTACAGACAACTCACCATTAGTTTCTTTCTTGTGTGACTGGTTTTTGCAGCAGGCAGTCTGAGTGTGACCTTATTGCAGTGCAGAGGAATAATGCTTTGAAATTCAGTACATGGCTCTTAGTTATGGATGAAAGCGCAGGTGTGCATAAGAAAAGTGAGGAAATGTCATATTTAAAATCCAAATTTTATTTATTAACACCGTTTCTGTCTTTCCATATTATTTTCTGCAAACTGGAGGCAGGAGAAAGTTCCTTAAATTATTTCATCATGAGACCAAGTAAAGTGTGCTTAAAATGTTCACTATGCTTAAAATAATTACTGCATAAATTCTCAGTTTTAAAATGAAAGGATGCACTTGTGGTCTTTAATATAGTATTATAACAGACTGTCACTTTTTTCCTTTGTTTTAATCTTTTGCAAAACAAGGTCTTTCTAAAATAATCTCTGTCCCAGTTCTTCTAATTACTTACAGGTGCCTTCCCACCAACTTTTGTCATGAGTCTGTATCACTCCAACAGAAACTGCAGCTTTCCTTATGTTTGCTAGACTCAGGGTATAATTCAACAAACTGTCTGAGTTTGAATTTCAAGTTATCAACTGAAAAATATATTTTAGAAAGTGATGTTGGGAGACTTGCCAAATTAATGTTTAACCACACATAAAAAGTAATTTTTGGATACAATACTTTTTTTGCCTCTAGGTTTCTTTTTTAACTTTACAAATGCAAAGAGTAATCTTCACTAAAATACTATTTGCCACTCTGTTAATCAAATCGTTCATTGCTGGACTTACAAAATGTGTTTCACTGTAGTATAAACAAGAACACCAGTGAGTCAGTAAGAAGTGAAAATCTGGAAGTGAGCCTTTTGGTGGAAGGGTAGGCTGTAATTGGGCTGTCATATTTTTGTGCTAAAAATGAAGCCCTATTTAAACTTTACTTCATTTGCCACAATATACATTGATTTCCTATGCTTGTTTATACACCAAGGCAGGATTCTTCTACTTCAATGATTAGATGTCCTCTAATGCATTGTGAGGATGAGTTAGCCATTCTAATTGTATTTCTCTAGCCATCAGGATATAACAATAGGTTACAGTTGGAAAACAAATTCTAAGGATGCCTATTAAAGCATATGATAATGTAGAGGATTTTTGCCACACAGTAATCATATTATTGCTGTCACTGTTGCCATTAGGAAAAAGCTGATTATACATCCTCTATTTGTGGAACTGCTCCAAAAATTCTTGTGTTGAATCAGGATATTCCTGGGTTGGGATGAGATTCAGCACAAATTTGAAGCAGTCAACCTTGGAATACTCCAGGTTTCCAGGGAGGTAATGGCAAGAGTGGAATGTGGTCCTGTGCTTAATAAGCATCTTACAACATTATAGGAGGAATGTAAGAAAAAGAGACAAGTAGAATTCTCCTGGCTTTGCCACTCTTACATTTAAATGTAAGAATACAAAAGTTAAAAAAATTACTTTCATAAGGCATAATTTCTTGCCTAATAAAATGTGGCTCCTGTAAAATGTACATCAATTTAAGAGTAACATACATACATATATATGTATATAAAAATATAATAACCCTTGTAACTCTGGCAAGGTCAATGTCTGACTAGATTATAGGCTAAATACATGCTAACCGGCTTTGATGTATGCACCTGACTTTCTGTTTTCAACAGGCTTCATTCATTAGCATTTACTTTTTATGCATTCTGGTAAGTCTGGTGCCTTTATTTCATCACTTTCATTTTTCGTGTAGCTGCATTTATTATTATTTAATGCTGCAATAGAGCACAGAAACTGTTTTCAATTGAGACTGTGCTTTGTGCATGTAAAACCAAAAAGAAGTAAAAAATAATTCCTCTAAACTATATAATACATGTTACACATTTCTTAAAACCTCTGTGTTTTTATTATACACTGAGCCAACTATGAAACTGAATAGCTATAATGTGTCTTGAACCTGACTGGCCTGCTCTTTGCCTGTTTTGTACAGGGGTTTAAATGCACAAGAACAGTGAATTCTTTATCTGTTATATCTAGTCATAAATGTAAAGTTACTGTAACGTGAGAATCTGCTATGATATGTAATGAACTGAGAAAGTTACTTCTGTTGTGGTTACCTAGATTTCATTACTGACTTTTTGAAATAATCAGTTATTTTAATCAAAGAGAGTACTTTGATCACAGAGATTAAAATACTCCATCTAGAGCTGTGGGTTAAGATGTTATGGATGTTTACAGTGCGTCATGCATTTCTCTACTTTTAGCAGAAGACCTAAGTGAGAAGCTAAGGAGTAGGCTCATTTTCAAATGGCACAATGGAGCAGTCTTTGGATGGGATCGCTAGCAACTAAATTACTTCAAGGACAGTAGTTTATCTCACAGTCAAGTGGAGGAGCAGGGAAAGCATAAGCTGTCCTGGGGACAGCTGTACTCCTCTTCTGCTCCTCTCTTTCCATGTAGCGTAATAATGATGGTTGACACCATGTGTCATGGTGGGTTCACCCTCAGTAACTTTGCAGATGACACCAAGTTGGGCGGGATTGTTGATCTGCTCGAGGGTAGGAAGGCTCTGCAGAGGGACCTGGACAGGCTGGGTCGAGGGGCCAAGGCCAACTGTATGGGATTCAACAAGGCCAAGTGCCGGGTCCTGCACTTTGGCCACAACAACCCCATGCAGCGCTACAGGCTTGGGGAAGAGTGGCTGGAAAGCTGCCTGGCAGAAAAGGACCTGGGGGTGTTGGTCGACAGCCGGCTGAACGTGAGCCAGCAGTGTGCCCAGGTGGCCAAGAAGGCCAATGGCATCCTGGCCTGTATCAGAACTAGTGTGGCCAGCAGGAGTAGGGAAGTGATCGTGCCCCTGTACTCGGCACTGGTGAGGCCGCACCTTGAATACTGTGTTCAGTTTTGGGCCCCTCACTACGAGAAGGACATTGAGGTGCTGGAGCATGTCCAGAGAAGGGCAACAAGGCTGGTGAAGGGTCTGGAGCACAAGTCTTATGAGGAGCGGCTGAGGGAATTGGGGTTGTTTAGCCTGGAGAAAAGGAGGCTCAGGGGAGACCTTATCGCGCTCTACAACTACCTGAAAGGAGGCTGTAGCGAGGTGGGTGTTGGTCTCTTCTCCCAAGTAACTAGCGAAAGGACAAGAGGAAATGGCCTCAAGTTGCGCCAGGGGAGGTTTAGATTGGACATGAGGAAAAATTTCTTTACTGAAAGAGTAGTTAAACATTGGAACAGGCTGCCCAGGGAAGTGGTTGAGTCCCCATCCCTGGAAGTATTTAAAAGACGGGTAGATGAGGCGTCTTATTTGGTCTTATTTGTTCACATATTTGCGTGCATTTTCTCTCTTGCCTTTCTCAATTCTTAACTAATTATCAAAGTGTGTAATGAAATGAACAGATGACATACAAGGGGGTTATGAGAGCAGCAACTGTAAAGGCAGCTTGTCGCTTACTACAGGAGACCTTTGCTCTGTCCAGGCAGTGGAGAGCAGGCGCTCGGCCCACTTACAGTGGTATTAAAGTGGCTTATAAATGGAGCTGTCTCCAGTTAAAAGAATCAGACGCTCATTTATTACAAAATTGCAGCTTCTGTATCTTGACAGTGCAGTTCATAAAGTGTCTCTCTGATCTCATTTTGTGATGGTAGATGAACTATTCTATTGGAAGACCTTTTCATACAAGAACCAGTTAACTGCAAGACTAAATTCATCTTGGTGTAACTTCAGTGACCCCAGTGAGAGGTGCCTTTGGACCTTTTATGTAAAAACAGATTTAGCAAGCTTTCTTTCAAAGTTTGGTTTTTATAAGGCAGCTGATATGTCAGTGGCTTTTGAGTTGAGAAACTAAACTTCTTTAAGAAAGTAAAAATAACTTGGAGAGAAATCTGGATTCTTTGTGTTACTTCTCTTGCCCATCAGATGACAGCGGTATGCTTTGATCTGTTTTTACTGAACTTTGTCTTCCATAGAGTCTGTGAAGATTCAGGGGTCCTCTCTATACAAGCTTGCTGCAAGTAATATTCTGTTTACCCCAGTTTTGTGACTAACATAATTGAAGCATAAATATGTAATTTATGAAACCTTTTTAAGGGGGTTATTACTGCTGAAATGTGTCATTGAGTAAATTCGTGTCTTTCAAAACAAATCACGGTTGAATCAATAGAATAGGAACATATATTGGTAAGCAAGATAGATGTCAAGATTCTTGACTCCAGATTACATTAGTTACAGTTCTTGATAGGACTAATGTCCAAAGCTATGATACTTCCA